ACTGCGTCGACATGTACGTCAAAGTAGAAACGGAACGTCTCAATTTAATTTGTTTTAATCAGTCTAAGTTGGGGCGAGATAAAGTTCGCCGGGTCCGCTAGTGTTATAATAAATCTGTATACATTCAAGTCATATTACAGAAAACTAGGTTGTTTCATTTAAGTTTTTTTGAATAAGAGGCTGCAGAATCTTAGAGCACTGCATATGCTTGGTCGCCTGCCCAAGCAAAAGAAATATTATACGATTTGACCTAAAAAAAATATTTAGAAGACAATTTTTACATATTTGTTTTATTATGCAATTTTTATTTATTATACATACAAAATAGCAAAAAAAAAATTTTTAGCATTGGAAAAATATTTTTAATCCTTAAAAAAAGGCGAGACCAAGCCCATTTTTAGTAAAATATTTTCCTTTTTTTATATTAAACTTGATTCAAAAAACAGAACTTAAAAATTTTAACTCGTCTTAAAGTTATTAATTAATGCCACAAAAAGTGGTCGTTCGCCCCATAGTGCGATGTGCAGGTAGTGCGCTATAAATAGCTAAAACCTCGGTTCTAATGCTCCGATCGTTATGAATTTTTGTGAGAGTATTCTCAACAGTATATGGGCATTTTCACAGAAATGTCAACCGCGGCAAAAAAAACTAAAACTTCTCTAAAATGTTTTTTTCAATATAGTAACATTAGGAAAACGTCAATTGATTAAATTTGAAGGGCTTTATCATATTCAAACAAGATTTTTCATTATTTTGATGAAAAACATCATAAAAATGGGCCTGTTTTCTTTTGATAATTACATCCAAACCGAGGCATTATGCTTTGACTGTTGTTTACTAACATCACAAGAAGAATGCAAAAAGTCGAAATAAAATGGATATATGCTCTTCTTATTTACTTAAAGAGTAAAAAATTACATGCAAAGTACGATGGTAAAAACTGTCGCGTGCGACACCTTACTAAAATTCAATAAAAAATAAACTACGCTAAATTTCTGATTGTAAATCAAAGCATATGAAAATGACATTATCGCATAACATTTTAAAATTTGTTTCATTAAAATATTCCCAGCCGTTTCGCTTAAATCAGTGTTTAAACAGCTCGCCGCGTAAAGTGACTTCTGTTTTTGTCGCGTGCGAACCCTTCAATTTTTTTTTTAATTTCTTAAATTTGAGCATACTCTCAAAATCAACAATAACACCAATTATAGCCCTAGGCAAGAGCTATAAGTTAATATTTTTAAAAGAAATAAAAATAAAATGTACCATACTTTTTTTTTGCTTTGAATGCGTACGAATGTCGCGTGCGACACCATGGAAATGCCCATATACTTAAAGAATATGTAATAAAAAAAATCGAGTTTTCCATCAATCACAACTGTATATAACCCATTAATGCAATGTCAAAAAGTTTTTCTTCACCCAAAATTGCATGATCTCGCATCTCGTGGCTTAGCATGAAATGAATTGACTTACAAGTGATATTATTTCTCAAGATGTTAAAAAAATCTCTTAAAGGAAAGTATAATCATCCCGTAACATTTACGACTACAGAGAGACACGCGCTAAAATAATTTTCTACCATTTAACGTTGCTAAAATCATATCTTTTGAACCAAATAATATAATCGAATAATTTAAACGGCCTTGGACAAGTAATTTTTGTAAAATGTATATACCATATGTACTGCGCCCACAAATTCGGCTTTTTAAAGGGTATCAAAGTAAAAAAATAATTTATTTTCAATGAAAAAATTGTTTTCATATTTTTTGTTTAGGTTTTGAGCTATATTTCGATGTTTTTGCTCAAATAAAAACAATTTGAAAACTTAAAAACAATTTTTATCCAGTGTGATTTTTGGAATGTATGGAATTGTATTTTCGGTAATTCTGGCTCAGGAAAGACTTATAGACATAGTGTAGTCGGTGGCATTCATCGGCTTCAGAAGTTAAAGACTACTTTAAGCAGAAAAGGGTGAAAAAATCTGGCAGGTAGCGATTTACCAAAGTGCCGTTTTTAGGTTCTTTAAGAGTTTATTAATGTATCTATCATTTAAAGTAAAAACCATGACCATTGGTTTTATGTTTCTTATACCCTTGCAGGGAATTATAATTTCAGTCAGAAGTTTGCAACGCAGTGAAGGAGACGTTTCCGACCCTCTAAAGTATATATATTCTTGATCAGCATAAACAGCCGAGTCGATATAGCCATGTCCGTCTGTCCGTCTGTCCATCTGTCCATCTGTCCGTCTGTCCGTCTGTCTGTTAATCGATTATTAATAGAAATAAAATTATAGCTTCGTTGTTTTTCAACGTATTTTTATCTACTCTGAGATATAATTATTTTTATTATTTATTTATTATTTTATTATTCTAGAATTTTGGTATAAATTTCATGAAAATCGGACAACTATATCATATAGCGGCCATAGGAGCGATCGGTAGATGTAGAGAAAATGTAAAGGTGTGAATGTAAAACTGTAACTGTCAAACTGTAAACATAATAAGTATAGGTGAAATGTAATGAAATAATATACAAACTTCGGCATGCCGAAGTTAGCTTCCTTTCTTGTTTTTGTGTAATATTACCTGAAAGTCGACCAATATACCTTTTTTTTTGTATGATGCAAAAGCGAAAGAAAGTTCAACTTTGAATGCTCATATCAACTACATAAAGAATTTTATTGCAGATTGTGTATCCTTGGGACATTTTTTTTCGAATAAGTATGGTTAAAATCTTTTTTGCGAACATGACTTTTGATTTTTGCAACGCTAATTGTTTCATTGGCGATACCCAAATCATCAAGTATTGACAAGTTCTTTGTATTGTTTTTGGCCAGAGTCTCGTTTTTAATTTTTATAAAGTCGAAGCCGACTAGACCTCGAGTCTGAAGAACTTTGCAGTTCTATACAGCATGGGTCGTTGCTAACCAAACAATATTGTATTTATTTACATCCTTGCTGCTTATTATAATTTAGAACCGAAGTTTGTAACGCACCAAAGGATTAATTTCCGATACCATAGGTGAATATGTATAAGGCTTTGGGTCCCAGTATTTCAATAAAAGCTTAAAGATTTTTACTGCAAGGGTGTACAAGCATCGACGCACAGTAGCGCCTTTTCTCATTTTACGTTGCAAAAATCATAACTTTTGAACAAAACATGATTACTAAATAATTTAAATGCCATTTGACAGGTAATTGTTGTAAAATTAACATATGTATTGGAAAATCTGCCACGCCCACTAATTCGCCTTTTTAAAGGGTATCAAAGTGAAGAAATATTTTTTTCTCAATGAAGACAATTTTTTAAAAATATTTTTTATTTAATTTTTTATCTTTATTTTAATATATTTGCTTAAATAAAAATAATTTGAAAACTGAAAAAAAAAAAAAATTTTTTTGTTCTATGTTTAACCGCCACAGAACCGTGAGCGCTACAGTTAGTATTTTTTGTTGGTTTGTATGAAATTGTGTCGGTATTTTGGTATATTTTACCCTGAGTTGTTTCAGTGTTTTGCTTCGCAATGCCAGAGTCGCAGCTGGACGCAGACTTTCTAAACGGATTCTGATTCAGGAAAGATACACGCAGTGCGTAGTCATAGTGTAGTCGCCGGCTCTGGGCAGCTTCAGAAGTTATAGACTACTTTAGCCAGAAAAAGGTGAAAATAATGGACACCTGGCAGGTAGCGATTTACCTGTACAAGCCCACACAAAACTACCTTTTTTTAATATGAATAAGAGGTAATGAATATACCTATCATTTAAAAAAAATTCAAGACCATTGGTTATGTAGTTTTTGTGTAATATTACCTGAAAGTCGACTAATTTACCTATTTTTTGTTGTATGACGCATACACGGAAAACAATTTCGACTTTGAATGCTCATATCTTCCTCAAAAAAATTCTGAAAATTTTTTTGGTTACAGATTCGGAATCCTTGGGAAATTCTCTGTCGATTTCTTATAGTTCAAATCGATTTTGCGATTATGACTTTTTCGATTTTTGCAACGGCTTTTGTTCGAGAGGCGCTACTGTGCGACGTTCCGAAGCTATTTTCCTTTCTTGTTTTTTTTATACCCTTGCAGGGTATTATAATTTCAGTCAGAAGTTTGCAACGCAGTGAAGGAGACGTTTCCGACCTTATAAAGTATATATATTCTTGATCATCATCAACAGCCGAGTCGATCTAGCCATGTCCGTCTGTCCGTCTGTCTGTCTGTCTGTCCGTCTGTCCGTCTGTCCGTCTGTCCGTCTGTCCGTCTGTCCGTCTGTCCGTCTGTCTGTCTGTCTGTTTCTACGCAAACTAGTCCCTCAGTTTTAAAGCTATCTGAATGAAACTTTGCATATAGTCTTCTATATGCTCTCACTGCTATATATGTCGGAACGGGCCGGATCGGACGACTATATTAAATAACTGACATACAAATGTTCGATAAATTCGATAAATAGCTGTTTTTCAACATATGTGCACTATTTTTTACATATGACCATTTTATATTATTTGGTAAAAATTTTATGAAAATCGGACGACTATATCATATAGCTGCCATAGGAACGATCTGGAAATTAATAGAAAAAAAATGATAACTTCGTTATTTTTCAAACTATTTTTATCTACTCTGAGATATAAGCTTATTTTATTAGTTCAGAATTTTGGTATAAATTTTATGAAAATCGGACAACTATATCATATAGCTGCCATATAAACCGATCGGTAGGTGTAGGGAAAATGTAAAACTGGGAATGTAAAACTGTAACTGTCAAACTCTCAACATAATAAGTATAGGTAAAATGTAATGAAATAATATCTGCAAGGGTATACAAACTTCGGCGTGCCGAAGTTAGCTTCCTTCCTGCTCCACTAAAACAGACCGATAAAATCACAGATGTCGAAATCCAAAGCTCCTCTGGTTATTTATAGCTTGTAGTTATTTTTATAACAATTTCAGTAAAGAAAGTTTTTCTCACAGTATGTATGTTCTTTTTTACCTAATACAGTTGATCCCGAAAACGCCGAGGAAAGTGTCGGCGAAATTTCCGTTCAAATCGATCTATTCTCGCATCCAGGCACCGGGGAGCACAAAGTAAACGTTAAAGGTCAGTTTAAGGCAAAGCCACAGTTAAAGAAACTTTCATAATATTACTTTTATGTTTTTTATTCAAGTGGTGGCTGCTAACGATCTAAAGTGGCAGATACCGTCGGGCATGTTCAGGCCGTTTGTGGAAATAAATCTCATTGGGCCGCATCTACAGGAGAAAAAGAGGAAATTTGCCACCAAGTCAAAGTCAAATAATTGGTCGCCAAAATACAACGAGTCATTTAGCTTGTAATTATATTTCGTGTTATGATAATATTGTTTTATTATAAGCATTATAATAATAATTATTTGATTTAATACATAGCACCATTGGCAATGAGGAGCAGTTGGATTTCTTTGAATTGCACATATGTGTGAAGGACTATTGCTTTGCTCGTGATGATCGACTTGTGGGCGTTGCTGTTATTCCACTAAAAGATATTTCGGAAAAGGTATGTAAAAATAGGGATTTAACATTAGAAGTCATTCTATATATATATATATTTAACAATGACAGGGTTCGGTTGCTTGCTGGTTGCCCTTAATGCGACGCATTGAAATGGATGAAACAGGCTGGACAATTTTAAGGATATTGTCACAACGCAATAATGACGAAGTGGCCAAAGAATTCGTTAAACTTAAATCGGAAATACGACAAGAGCCAACAATGGGCACATAAATAAGTCTGTCTGAAATGTTTTTTTTTTTCTGTAAACTTCTTATATACATTTTTTCCTAATTCTATTGGACTTTAGTTTTCATTTAATATTCTGATAACAAGTATTAACTTAACTAAAGCCATATGTATCCATACACATATGTATAACCAAAACACACCAAATATATATTCACATCCACAACCTTTTTGGGGCTAGAGCTGGCAAAACATCAATAGCTGTGATGGTTTGGTCCGTTATATTAAAACGGGTAAAAAATCCATTTCATGATTCTCTTGATTTTTCATACATATTCTAATATATTTAAAACATTTTACCTTTAGTGTATAAATCTCAAAATAAAGCTTAGACTAACATAGGATAAATGTGGCGGACGAAAAATGTTGCAGACAAACTAAATGTTCTGAGCATCATAACTAAACAGCTGTAATTTTGCTTTCAAAATAAATGAATTTAATTATTTTTAAATCCAATATGAATGGTAATTAAAAAAAACATTCGCATTGAGCGCTATTTTAGCCGTTAGAAAAGGATTTATTTAATAAATGCCGTAATGACAGGGTCCATTTTATGATATTTAGTTCACAAAGACATTTTAAATGAGGAATGTTTCAGTTATTTGGCGCCGTTTGTGCTTCAAGATGTTATCCTTTAGAAATATAACGCCTAATACATCCATTAATAACATTCCAACATCCCATTCGTTGAAATATATATTTTTTTTTTGCTTTAAAAAGTTCGAATTTGCTAAGTTCTGCTGAATTATTATTATTTTTTTTAATTATTTGACATAAGTGGCAATGTGATCCTTTTTCGCATTTTCTCTATATTATTCGATCAAACTGCTTCCCGATCAAAATATATATCAAATTTCGCTCGGAACTTTTCGAAAGCAAATTTATCTGATGTTAGTACTAAGCTTTGAAAAACAAATTGACCTTACCGCTTCTGCGAAAACATTGGTATCACAGTCAATAGCAAAGATTAATTTATAAATATATATATATATTTATTTTAACGTCAAAATATAAAAAAAAAAATATAGTTAATAGGGACCCAAAAGAATTTATTCCTTTTTCTTGACTTATTTTTTGTCTAAAACTTATTAAGGGTCGACCAAAATGTTATTGCGGATATTAATGTTTTGTATCCTCTAGCAAACTAGTTATAAAAAAATATAGTCAGCGATTGTGGTTGAAATTACAATTTATTTTGCTCACTCATATAGACGCAAAATACAAAAATTAATACAAAACAACATTAAAATATTAATACAAGAGTGATCCATCCGTATAAATTCGTACATATGTACATAACATAACAAAAAAAATAAAACATTTAATTCAAAATAAAAACACTGTTCATCTGTACATTCTAAGCGACACCTCCATTGCACACATTCCTATTCATGTAAATAAAGTACCTGTATAAATAAATAAATAAATATAAATTATATAATTCTTCGTGAACATTTGTTAACGATATTATATCTGGATAATATTGTAAAATGAATGAAATCTTTCTTTTTATTGCAATAATAACATTACAGGCTAAACTTTGGAAAATAAATAATTCGCATAGAAAATCCTGTTCGCTGGCTTTGTTTCTTTTCTTTTCGGGTTTTAACAACGGAGCTTTATAATTTAAGATAAGGTGAGGGTAGGAGCAACCTGATCCCAGGATGTGCTGAGATTAGAATATAGAAAAGCGTTAAAGTTTTTCATGATTAATATACTTGCTTTCATTGTATTTTACTCTGCTGCCTTATCCCAGTTGGCAAATTAGCGGATGGATTCGAAAAAGAGATTAAAACACGATTAAAGAAGCGGACTTTACGTATAACAAATTCTCATGAAACGTTCATAAGTCTCGAAAACTCTACATACAAAAGAATCTAGGTCCGTTGTTACTAACTATCGTGGAATCGCTAAGCCCTCTGCCCTAGCTCTGTCATTGGGTAGTGGGCTGCCTAACCCTTGCCCGTCACACACATACAAATGAACATCGATAATCGACGTTAAACAACCCAAACAATATTTCAACTTTTGCTAACTTGACTGCAGTTTATTAAATAAAAAATATTTATGCGATTATTTACAGCAAACTAGTATGATCCTAACAACCCAGTTCACTAAACTGGAAACTGGAACTTATCCCACCAGCTCAGCCAGAAGAAGTCATTTCCGACTCTACAAAGTCCAGTCGATCTGCTCATGTCCGTCTGTCTATTCCTGCGCAAAATAGTCCCTCATTTTTGTAATAAGTTAGTTAATGAAAGTTAACATTACTTTGAATTTGTTCACCATATATATTTAAAATATCAAACCGCAAAGGTATACAAAATATGGCGCGTCGAAATTAGCTTTCTTTCTTGTTTTAATTAATTTTGTATTTATTTTACTAATTATCTACATAAAATAAAAATTTTATTCAACAAATAAAAAAAAATATTTATATACTTTTGTCTCCCGTTAATTAATTAAAGTAATTGTAGTGGACGCCCCCGGCATTCGGCGTACTGCTCAAATTACTCGGAACATAGGTGGTTCCGGCAGAGCATTTCAAACAATTCCTTTTCTTCGGCCTATGCTTCGACTTTGATCCATGGCAGTGTATTGCGAATCTGAGCTCTTGCGCCATTTCCGAGCACAACGATTGATTTTCCGTATTCAGATTTTTCCTTGAATTCCAACAGAACTCAAAAATGGCCACAACAACTGCCAAGGCAAGGCCACAAAGAAGAACTACGAACACGCCGCCTAAAATATGGAAAAGATTTATGTATTTATATATGTATGTATGGATGTACTGAAACTGAAACTAACCAATATTTTCGACACCAAGTGCGTTTGCTTTCGACTCCTTGCTCTTGTCATCTCGGTTGCAAACATCGCCAGTATTTTTCCACCATTTATCGTATAATATCTGAATTATACCCTTTTCCTGTAACTCCAAAATGGCCAGAGAGATTTTATCTCGCCAAGGGGAGCCTTTTGGTGTGGCAATACCATAACCCTTTGAATCCAGCAAACCCCCGATTTGCGTAAGATTGCAATCCCGTTGTACAGCGTAGTCTAGCATCGTTGATTCCATTAGAAAGGCATAGCTGCCCTCCATCACACGTGTTATGCCGTCTTCGTAGGTTTTAACAAATACAGCTGCCTTTCGATTTTCCATATAACGCCACATCTTTTGGTAAATACCGATTTTGGAGTCCTATAAAATTATATATATGTAGGTATACATACTATGTCAAACAAAAACATCTTCAAATTAGGTTATATAAATGTAACAATATCCCCATTAACTCCAAAAATTGTTAATATAAAATGTTGGGACGATTTTTGACGACTTCCCTAGAAAAACTACGGAAATTAATTTCTTTCCTTACAACCTTTCAAAAATTTCAAAAAATTTAAATCGATCCATAATCTATCTAAGGTATTTATTTTTTTATACCCTTGCAGGGTATTATAATTTCAGTCAGAAGTTTGCAACGCAGTGAAGGAGACGTTTCCGACCCTATAAAGTATAGATATTCTTGATCAGCATCAACAGCCGAGTCGATCTAGCCATGTCTGTCTGTCTGTCTGTCTGTTTCTACGCAAACTAGTCCCTCAGTTTTAAAGCTATCTGAATGAAACTTTGCATATAGTCTTCTATATGCTCTCACTGCTATATATGTCGGAACTGGCCGGATCGGACGACTATATTATATAGCTGCCATACAAATGTTCGATAAATTTTTAGAAAAATAATTATAACTTTGCTGTTTTTAAACATTTATATGTAGCAGTGAGAGTATATAGAAGACTATATGCAAAGTTTCATTCAGATAGCTTTAAAACTGAGGGACTAGTTTGCGTAGAAACAGACAGACGGACAGACGGACAGACGGACAGACGGACAGACGGACAGACGGACAGACGGACAGACGGACGGACAGACAGACAGACAGACAGACAGACAGACAGACAGACAGACAGACAGACAGACAGACAGACAGACAGACAGACAGACAGACAGACAGACAGACAGACAGACAGACAGACAGACAGACAGACAGACAGACAGACAGACAGACAGACAGACAGACAGACAGACAGACAGAACAGACAGACAGACAGACAGACAGACAGACAGACAGACAGACAGACAGACAGACAGACAGACAGACAGACAGACAGACAGACAGACAGACAGACAGACAGACAGACAGACAGACAGACAGACAGACAGACAGACAGACAGACAGACAGACAGACAGACAGACAGACAGACAGACAGACAGACAGACAGACAGACAGACAGACAGACAGACAGACAGACAGACAGACAGACAGACAGACAGACAGACAGACAGACAGACAGACAGACAGACAGACAGACAGACAGACAGACAGACAGACAGACAGACAGACAGACAGACAGACAGACAGACAGACAGACAGACAGACAGACAGACAGACAGACAGACAGACAGACAGACAGACAGACAGACAGACAGACAGACAGACAGACAGACAGACAGACAGACAGACAGACAGACAGACAGACAGACAGACAGACAGACAGACAGACAGACAGACAGACAGACAGACAGACAGACAGACAGACAGACAGACAGACAGACAGACAGACAGACAGACAGACAGACAGACAGACAGACAGAGACAGACAGACAGACAGACAGACAGACAGACAGACAGACAGACAGACAGACAGACAGACAGACAGACAGACAGACAGACAGACAGACAGACAGACAGACAGACAGACAGACAGACAGACAGACAGACAGACAGACAGACAGACAGACAGACAGACAGACAGACAGACAGACAGACAGACAGACAGACAGACAGACAGACAGACAGACAGACAGACAGACAGACAGACAGACAGACAGACAGACAGACAGACAGACAGACAGACAGACAGACAGACAGACAGACAGACAGACAGACAGACAGACAGACAGACAGACAGACAGACAGACAGACAGACAGACAGACATGGCTAGATCGACTCGGCTGTTCATGCTGATCAAGAATATATATACTTTATAGGGTCGGAAACGTCTCCTTCACTGCGTTGCAAACTTCTGACCGAAATTATAATACCCTGCAAGGGTATAAAAATGATAACTTCGTTGTTTTTCAAACTATTTTTATCTACTCTGAGATATAAGCTTATTTTATTTGTTCAGAATTTTGGTATAAATTTTATGAAAATCGGACAACTATATCATACAGCTGCCAAATAAACGATAGAAGATAGAAAGAAGATAAGAATATGTTGAAAAACAACGAAGTTATAATTTTTTTCCTATTCATTTTCCGATCTTTCCTTTGGCAGCTATAATATATAGTCGTCCGATTTTTATAAAATTTTTAACCAAAATTCTGGAATAATATAAAATGGCCATATCCCAAAAATGATTGAAAATCAGCCCAGTTTTATTTTTTTTTCTAAAAATTTATCGAACATCTGTATGGCAGCTATATGATATAGTCGTCCGATCCGGCCCGTTCCGACATATATAGCAGTGAGAGTATAAAGAAGACTATATGCAAAGTTTCATTCAGATAGCTTTAAAACTGATGGACTAGTTTGCGTAGAAACAGACAGACGGACAGACGGACAGATGGACAGACGGACAGATGGACAGATGGACAGACGGACAGCCGGACATGACTAGATCGACTCGGCTGTTGATGCTGATCAAGAATATATATACTTTATAGGGTCGGAAACGTCTCCTTCACTGCGTTGCAAACTTCTGACTGAAATTATAATACCCTGCAAGGGTATAAAAAGATCCTTTTATAAGGTCAATCAATCCACCATGTGGATGGTGGATGGTACCCATATACCCAGTGGTTCGTCGTTCGTCGTCAAGGGACTTATTTAAAGTGGTTGAACGTCCGTTTAGGGTAATTGTACCGGTGGTTTGGCGTTCGTTTACTATAGGACCAGTCTAACGCAGGCATGGCCAATCAATACTTTCAGTGATGCAGGGGAAACTAATCACAATACGCGTTTGTAACCTTTTCTGTACACCAAAGACCAAAGCTACAAGAAGCACCTAAAGAAAGCGATAACATAAAAATAAAGTATAAATTTTAAGCAAAATTGGCAACTAACAAAAAAAAACATCATAAAAACAAAAGAACAGAAGAAGACTGTGTCGAAAATTTGACCTCAAAACCAGTAAGGCAGTTGAGTTTATTAATGATAATTTAAAACATTGAAAAATACACCTATACTCGTAATACCCATACAGGAGGATCGGGGTGTAACATATTTAAAAGTATGTTTAAACATCCAAAATTTCATTCACACACAAAAAGTTAAATCAATTTAAATACACCAAAAATAATAAAGCAATCTAATTAATTTTACAGAGACTGAATTAAAGTAAATACCATTATAAATTTTTAAAATCGGACCTACCTAACGAACGCTTGACCGCTTTGAAATGCAATTTTCGTGTGACGAAAAGCAACTAAAACTCCGTGATCTTGCTTTTCAGTCTATTTTTAAAATGTTCGGTATTCAATGGAATGCGTGTGACGGAGATTATCGATGAAGCCTCCATCCTCGACAAAATCGACTTATCTCTCCCGGGAAAATTACAAGCCAGCAAAGTCATTATTGTCTTCGGTTAATATGACCACTACGCACATCTTACGAGAACAATTGTTTCTTAAACAAGCAGAAATGGCTTTGAGGGAATAATTGTACCAAGTTGCTCAGAGTATGCATCACCTGTAGAACTTGTCTCTAAAAAGGATGGATCGAATATATTTGGTTGCAACTACCGAAAACTTAACAAAAAAAATCAAGAAACACAATTTTCCTGAGCCTGATTGACAATATTCTGGAAAGTTTGCAATGGTTGAAAATCTTTACCACTCCCGACATGATGAATGAATTTTTTCATGTGCCAATTCATAAAGACTCAAGAAAATGTACAGCTTTTGTGGGCCATAACGAACACTATGAATTTACACATGTTCTATTTGGTATCTCAAATTCACCGGTTATGTTTTGCCGTTATTTTATAAAAAATTTATTTCTGAACCCATCTCAAATTTGACAAAAAAACAATTTCGGTTTGGCGAGGGGTTGGTAATTCCATCGTAAAAAGTTTCGCCAAGGTTGCCATATTATTGGTGAAACGAAACATCCGGGTAAAATTACTTATCAAATATAAAAGAATACATTAATAACTTTAAAGGAGGGCCAAAAATGTTGTTTATATATATATTTAATTTTATTACTTATATTTATTATTATATTTAATTTTATTACTTAAATGGACAAATTGACCAAAAATGTAATTGGGACCACCGGAATTAAAGCTGTAAAAAATGTAGCAGCATCTTAGACGCCTGGATTTTCTCAACTTCAGATATTTCTGAGAACTATCACTGGGGCAGCATTGTTTTCTCGCAATGAAAGCTTCTACAGGAATCTCGGCATTCTTGCAGTTAAGGGGGTCTTCTTATTCAAAAGCCGTTTTTTGGACCCTTTTTAAAAAAATTCTTATTTGAAAACGCAAAGAATAATTGAAAACTTTTTTTATTTATTGTATTCAAAAATGTTCAAAGTAACTAAAAAAGTTGTTCTTGCCTCGATACGAGGGTTGCTCAAAGAGTAATAAGACTTCAAACTTGGTGGTCGAAAAAAAAGGTGTCGTCCTGGCGGCCACGATTCAGGGTCTCCAGAGCGTCCGAAATGAAAAATAAAAACGGGGTTATAATCAGAATAGATGTCATTTTCGGCTGACGGAACAGATTTTTTTTTAAATTTTTAAAACAAAATGGCGGCCATTAAAAAAAGAAATTCGATTTCAGGCGTTTTTTTTGTAGTTTAGTGTAAAAAAAAATAGAAAAAATTTTTTTTTTTAAATGGTGACAATTCTGCGTCGATTCCACTTTGTTTCATGAAAATCGGTTCAGTTGAACTGGAGATATCATGGCCGCCAGTTCGAAAACCGTGGTTTCGAGATAAACGCGTTTGAAGTTTGAAAAAAGCTCATTTTGCATAGATCTTGCTTCACAAAAAAGGCTGTATCTTCTAAAGTATTTCGAATTTCTAAAAATCTAAAAAATCGAAAAAAAAAAAGTTGCCCAATGAGAAGACCCCCTTAAGAACGAAATAGAAAAACAAAAAGCGTTTTACAAGGAAAAACTCTCTGCCCATCCAAATCCTCGAGCAAGGGTCTTGATTCGGGTTTCCAGAAGAAGCCGTCTACTACGTAACGACCTTCTAACCCAGCCATAATTAGTCAGGGCCATTTACTATGTACCAGTGTACATGACTGCTAGTTAGGTAGTATTGAAAGATTTGATACACTAATTGTTAGTCTCATACATGAGAAGATTCAATAAATAAAAGCAAAGCATAAAAAAAAGATATTTCTGACTCCTTCTGGCTTTAGAACAATAAAAAAACATCCCGACGCACGTCGCGTAAAACCCCGAACAGTCTACGTGTTCTTATTTCGAGTGCATTTCAAGTTAAAGCCGCCCCCCTCTAAACAATATCAAAGACAGTTCTTCACGTTGTTTGCTTTTTACCAAAACAACAAGTCGAGTGTTTGAGCAGTAAGAAACGTTGAGAAAACGAAACATTCCGATAGCAAAAATTTGTCGAAAACCTGAGCAGTTAAAAAAAATATAATCCGTTTTCCATTTTGACATGATTGAATATTAAAATTAAAATTAAATACATTAGGGAACTGCTTAAACATTTAAAAATGGAACAAGTGAACGAAGCTTTTACCGATTGTGGTACTTGCGACTGCCTATATTTGAAGTTCACACACTGTTTTATAATTCACCATAACCGTCAAGTATTTTATCAGCAAGATTGGTATAGTATTGTTCTCCCGTTCGCAACTCCTAAACCTTCATTTGAAGAGTCCAAGTTAGTCGTTGCAGAAAACTGAACAAGGCCACTCAAGTGTTTACATAGTTTGAAAGTCGAATTTTTCATTGAAATATTACAACTTAAATATCGTGTAAACTTAACCTAAATCAATAAATACTTAATTATTAGTATCCCTACATATATTTACCCTAAAAAATGTCATTGTTGATCCACCCTCCAAAGTTCCATAAGATATTTCCGTTTGTTCTGCCAGATCAGAAGCGCTTTCTATGGGTGATATCATCCGCTCGACGGTTAAAAAAGCAGCCAAATTGGCAGTGTATGAGGATATAATTATTAAACAAAAAAAGAACCAACAGCCACCAACAATTCGCGTTGAAGTTGCCTAAAATGAAAAATAAAGGCCTCAGACAATTTGTCATTTGAAAGAATTACTTAAAGTTTATGATTTACATATTTATATATGTATGTAATCAACCAATGACCTAGCCCAGCTTATTTATACCCTGGTAACTTAAAAATCAAATGTTTGATTACAAAACCAAAGAAATGTGGGAAAAATAAAATTGTGAAAAGTAAAAAAAAGAGGAATATTATAAATTTACCCAGTGGACCAAAAGACAATAGTAAAACGATAGGAGCGAAATAAATACGCGAGTGTTAGCTGCAGTCCCGCTTAATGTTTACAAACGGAATCAGAAACTAATTCTGAGCGATGTTTTTTTTTTTAGTACACGGTACATATGGGTACAGGAATATTATCGCTTAGTGGACTGGCATTACTTCGCTGTTTTCAAACATTGTATACCTAGTAAGTACTAAATTTAATAATAGTCTAAATGATCGATTCTCATTGATATAATTAAAAACTGTTTTTTTTTAGTCGATTAAACTTTTTTTTTTAATTTTATCAAAACCAAATTACTATATGCTATGTATAAATATACAACTTGTATATATTTCCTTATATATTTTTCTATTAAATTGACCAGAATGGATCGTTTCTTAATGAAAGTGCAAGGGTATACAAACGGCGTGCTTCCTTTCTTGTTTTTTCTCGATGTGTACTTAATTTATTTAAAGCACAACGGTTTTGGTACCGGGTCCTTTACAGTGATACTTGGGCTGCATTTTTTACTTAATTTGGTTTGCGATATCGCTTACAATGCTTTGGTCCATTGGGAAATATGCATATTGCTTATAGAATATATAGAGAACATGCATAAAAAGTGATCCAATTATATCTGATCCCAATTTAACAATATTTAATTTTTAGTAAGAATTTTTCGGTATTTTATTCATTTATGCTTGTTAGCCTTTTAGGCGCTTCAATACAGAGCCGCAGCAACCAAGGGGGCAAGGGTGTGGCTGGACACCACGCGTTTTCCTCCGCATCACGCATTTTTCTCATATATGAAATCGATAGGAAGAAAGGAAAAATATTGAAGAACCATTAAATAAAAAGCAATGAAGAGATCTATTTGTATATTTGATACTGCATTCACGTTGACCTTTCTTTTATAATTTTGAAATTATTCCAAAAAAGTTACACCTGCCCCCACGCAAAACAGGATTGCTACGGCTCTGCTTCAATATGGTAAGAAAATATTGTTGATCCTACCCTAGGATATAGGTCAGAACCTTGTTGCATAAGAGCGCCAATTGCAAACCAAAAACTATTTTTTAATGTAAAATTGTTTTGTATTCGAATTAAGTCCACAGTATTATCATCATCCGAAGCATCATATTCATCGACCTTCGCTTCTTGGTGATCATGAAATTTGTTATCTGAATTTAAACATAACTCCGAATTTTCGGACATTTTTCTTGTTCTCTCCGCCATTTCCAACTGTTCATCATCGAAGCAATTGTTTTCTTTTTGAATTTCACGCAGAATATGATCACAAGCCCTGGAACATGGGGGTTTGGCATTAACCCATTCAATGGGTGAAAGTCGAGCTACGATCCAAATGCAGATCGATACAAATATGTATCCAAATGCTATATAAAACCATATGTCAATCGCAAGTGGATTCATGAATGAGAAAAACTTGGTCTGCGCTCGATCTGAAATCTGAAATAATATATTAATAATACAAAATGATATAAAATATATATATTTAGAGTGCCCACTAAAATGCATCTTGCCTTATAAAATGTAAAAATCTTGCAAGTTAAAAAATTACCATTAATAGATACATTTATTTAATTATAGCTTACATATAACAAAAAAGTTCCAGTTTTTGTCGTATACCTTTGGATTAAGGCCCGATCCTTGCCGTAGAAACGTTCCTGTTATAAACCAGAAACTGTTCGATATGGAAAACTGATTCTCCACTATATCCGTTTCCTTGAAGCAGGGATGAGGATTTTTCCATTCGTAAGGCGAAAAACGTGCCATCACAAAGAGAGCGAAGGATACTAATATATAAGCAGCTAGCACATAAAGCCATATCTCGATTGCCAATGGGTTCATAAAGGAGAACAGTCGTGTGGGCTGACTTGTCGGCACCTATATTAAATTTTTATTCTACGATTTACTGAAATTGCAATCATCTATAAATTGTATCTACAGCAAAGGGAGTTTCTATAGAGAGCCCCAATTTAAAGATAATTCTTGATTGTGAGATTTTTCTTTAAGTACTCCTCTTTATAGTGACTCCCTCTGCCTCTAAAACTATTAAATAATTAAATATGTGTATAATTTAGAGCCGAGTTGTGTTTTTCTAGATATATACAGGCCTGCTCCGGTAATCGAAAACGGCAAGAATTTTTCGTTTTCGTTTTTGAAAACGAGAAATTGGTGCTCCGGTAATCGAAATCGAAAGATTTTTTCGATTTGAAAAACGGGCACCTTTTTCTGGCCGGAATGAAAAGTAAATGGCTTTTTCTATATGAAATCAGACCTTATTTACAAAAGGAAAAAAATAGTTTACTCAGTGGTCTATTGATGTTTATTCCACAACACCATAAGATCATTCTGGCAGGTAGTTATTTTATAAAAAATTTATTTCTGACCCCACCTCAGATTTGACAGCAAAATTTTTGCCGTGTTCACCCAGTTTTCTCGTTTTGGCGATAGGTCGATAAGTTCACCGCAAAAAGTTATCGCTAAGGTTGCCATACTGTTGGTGGAACGAAACAGCCAGTTAAAAATACTTATAAAATATAAATAAATTCATTAATAAATTTAAAGGACCGCCAAAATGGTTGTTTATAATTAATGCTATTTAATGTGATTACTTAAATGGTCCAAATTAACCAAATAATTATTAGAGACCACCGGAATTTAAACTGTGAAAAGTGTGGCAGCATCTTAGGTGCCTGGATTGGCTTAACTCTACCATTTTTTGCCTTTTTCTGGCTTAGATAAAGGGCAATTGTAAATATAATAGGCAGTACTTTACGTTTTTTTGCTTATTACCAACAACACAAGTTAGCTGCTTGAGCAGTGAGAAACGATGAGAAAACGAAACATCCGATAGCAGAAATTTGCCGAAAACCGGAGCAGCTAAAAACGAAAACGGTTCGTTTTCGCCCAAAACGAAATCGAAAAAATTTTACGATTACCGGAGCAGGCCTGATAGTAACTAATCGGTTTTACCTTGAACAAAATGCCAATGCCCAAGTTCATAAATGGTTTTGTAAAATCAATAACACTCTCCCGGGCATAGTTGATGGTCATTGATGCCACAGCAAGGTCTGCACGCTGTAAGAAAGAAATATATTTATATACAAATTTACGTTGCTTATGCGGTTATGATACTGTTTAAAAGTTTTCATTAGGTAGAAGTTTTATATTTAATTAATTTAATTAAGTGACTTTGAGTTGGAAGTACTTAGGTAAAGTCCTATATACATACATACTTTCACAAGTATGCCGTAAATCCTTTATTAAAAACTTTTATTAATAAACCAGTTCATAACCGCTGTAGGAATAGAAATGCAAGCACTTGCCCTTTCCATTAACTCTTGGACAATGCCATTCCAGGAATTCGTCTCTGGGATGTAAACCCCATACATATTATCGGGGACCAATTCGATTTTGTATTGAAATCCAACTTGTTGAGCGATCGCTTTTAAGAGATCAATACAAAATCCCTCAAAGCGTATATTTCCCGTTAAATTTGTATCCTCTTTAACCATTACATATGGGCGTTCCTAAAATGGTACACATTTTCATTAATTTAGAATCCCTAATCCAAACACTTAGGTAAATAAATAATTATAAAAATAGATTAATAATGACCCTCAGCTTTCTAACAACTAAACCATGTTGACCTGTGTTTTTATACCCTTAAGGGAATTTTAATTTTAGTCAGCAGTAATTTTAGACCCAATTAGGTATATATATTCTTGATCAGCATCAACAGCCGAGTCGATCTAGCCATATCCGTCTGTCCGTTTATTCGCAAAACAGTGCGACTGCCTTGGAGTTATCTGAATGAACTTTCCAAATAGTCTTCTGAATATTCTGACTAGTATAACATACAATTCGTTAAAATACATTTTCATTTTGTTTTATAAAGTTAGTTTACAAAAAACAGCTGGAAATACGTGTCAGTGTGACTCTTTTCATGCATTTTATTTAATTTCTTTGGTCACACTAGTTTCCGATCGAAAAATATGATACACAAATGGAAATTTTATAGTTATATTGATAAACTAAGAATGACAACCTCATTAAATAAGCATTTTCGTCTACATTTAACAATCGTTTCTATGACAGCTACATATATGATATATTCATCCGATATGCAAACTTAAAAATAAATAAAAACAAGAAAGGAAGCTAACTTCGGCACGCCGAAGTTTGTATACCCTTGCAGATCGGTTTTTAGATTTATATTATAAATTATAATGCCGAAAACAGACACAAAACAGAGTTTCATTACATTTTACCTATACTTATTATGTTTACAATTTGACAATTACAGTTTTACATTCCCAGCTTTATATATTTTATAAATTTACCGATCGCTTCTATGGCAGCTATAAGATATAGTTGTCCGATTCTAATGAAATTTATACCAAAATTCTAGAATAATAACAAAAGCTTATATCTCAGAGTAGATAAAAATACGTTGAAAAACAACGAAGCTAAAATTTTATTCCTATTAATTTCCCGATCGTTCCTATGGCAGCTATATCATATAGTCGTGATAGCAGTGAGAGTATATAGAAGACTATATGCAAAGTTTCATTCAGATAGCTTTAAAACTGAGGGACTAGTTTGCGTAGAAACAGACAGACGGACAGACAGACAGACGGACAGACAGACACACGGACAGACGGACATGGCTAGATCGACTCGGCTGTTGATGCTGATCAAGAATATATATACTTTATAGGGTCGGAAACGTCTCCTTCACTGCGTTGCAAACTTCTGACTGAAATTATAATACCCTGCAAGGGTATAAAAAGTAACAATCTGTCAATTTATTATTATTTTTTTTATTAATTTAATTAAAATTTATTAGTCTGTGAGATATCGACCATTGAAGTTTTTTATGCCTTAATTATGCATGATTAATGCATACGTCGCGGACGAAGAATTTATGAAGAATTTATTTATATTATTTTAAACTACTAGACCTTTCATTTATGGCCTTATGATACAGTAAGGCACTTTTCATTCATAAGCCACTTCGTAAGAGTCTTGAAAGAGACAACTAACTATATATATATATGGTATTTTGCTCAGATTATTTTAGTAGTCCGACTACGGTCATACCGATCGACAAAGGTAAACAATAATAAGACTGCAATTCGTAGCAAATAACTATGAATTTCTGAATTTGCTGCCGAAATAATCACGCAATAATGTATGCGGAAACCTTTAAATCTATGTTTTTATAATTATTATGATTATTAGTCATTCAGTCGAGGAAATTCTCTGAGAATAAAGCCGTGTGATTTTATGTCGAGTTGAGTTTGGCGGACTTATGTAGGTTTCTATGCTGTTTCGTTGTAAAGATGACAATGTATTACGTTAGTTTTATAAGTAGTTAAATACACAAACCTCTCTCGTCATAACCACTAAGGTAATATTCGCAATATTCGAATCATAAAAAGCAGTTGGATCGGAAATGTTTACACCAGTATCGGGTTGCCAATATCCAACCTTTTGGATTCTTTCTTGTTTCAATTTTAAGATGTCAAGTTTAAATTTACTCCGACGACCTTCCAAAAAATTAACATCACCAGTCAAGCCGTCTGTTATACCCTGAAATGTATATATTAATAGTTATTATTCAATTTGTTGGATTATGGCCTTATGATACTCTATAAAGTTTTCATTAATTTCTGAACTGAAAGAGTAAAACAGTTTTGAAGTGTGACCGCTATTTACCCGAAGGGCCTTGATTAGGTACGCGGCCCATTGCTCCACCGCTGCCGGCTGAGCTTTCCGCTCTCGCCTCTCTTGCTCTCCCGCGCTCGCTCTCCCGCAGCGCTGCGCGCTTTCGCACTCTCGAGCGCGGGCCAAACACTTGGATCGAGAGCTGCCGCTCTCTCGCTCTCGCTTAGCGGAGTAAGCGGGCGGGAGCTGGCCGCTTGCTTAAGTTTTAGTTTTTAGTCTTATGTATGCAGCGAAATAAAGCTGATCGACTGCGTGTGAATTTCCTTACGACGCCCCCGTTTTTTTCTTATTTCGACTTCGCACTACTTTGCTTGCGCCGCGGGAAATTTTCATCTTCCACAACTCCCCTTGCCTTGAAGGAAGGAAGCGCTGCCCCAACATTTTGGTCCTTCGAGCCGGATTCTTTTTTGGATTTTCAACTTCGCCCCCAGCAGTTCTCGGCGTTTCTCTCCACCAAGATAAGTACGAACATTCCGTCTCCCCCCCTCTCTGCCGATCTTCAGCAGTGGTCCGAACATAAAATTCGTTCACTCTGCTGCAAGTTTTCCGTGTCGACTCAAAGTCCGAGTTTTTCCTGACACACCGGCAGTTGAGAAATTTCCAGTCCTCTGTTCTCGTCGTTTCGTGGAAATTTTCTATCCGCCTCCGCTTTGTGTGTGTCGCCATATTCCTGGTTTTTTTTCGATTCTCGGTTCCTCCGTTGCTCCGGTACACACACACACACTCGCGCGCCATATATCGGCATCTCCGCAAAAGTCAAAAGGCAAGTGAAATTGTGTGGTGAAGAAAAATAAAGGCATAATTAATATTCGGCATCCGAAAAGTAATTGTTTCGGGAGTTCCCTGTTCGCCGAACAGTTCGCCGCTGCCGCGATATTTTTTGTTGTGTGCAATTTTTTTTCTCCACATAATTTGTGCTATTCCGCCAATCCAAATACAGTCCACTTCTCGAAGCTCCACTGTGAAGCACAAGGCTTACACATACACATATATTTCCATATGCATGCATGCCCATACAATATACATATATTTTCTGCCTCCTACACAGGAACGACCAATAAATAAACTATAAAAAATTCAAATAAAATAAATTAAAATAAAATATATATATAAACCGCGACAAAACAACAAACGTTTAGGACAAAACGGCAAATCAATTCACGGGTGCGATTACGACTGTGTTTTTTTTTCCGCCTTTTCCAAATTAACCGCCAGCGCCTGTGTTTTTATTGGGGTTGTTTTTTGCCGGCGGCAGAACCCAGTGCCCGTGTTCTTCCAAACAAAAGCCAAGGTTTTAATTCCACCTTTTCGGCTCCGTAATAATTTTCCGAATTATTAATTAGTTATTTGCGGCCAATAATTTTTCGAATTCTTAGTGGATTATTTGCGGCCAATAATTTTCCGAATTATTAACTAATTACACAGGTACACAGCCAAAAATTTCCACGAACCATTTCAAGTTTTCCATGATATTTGGGTGCTCCTGAGTAAAAGTCCCATACAAAATTATTTTCCATCACCTACAGGTTCCGCGGTATACCTAAGAATACAAAAAACCTATGTTTGCCGACATTTTGAATTACGTGGCCTATATAATTGGACTTACCTTTATTATTTTTGGTAGAACCCACTCTCAATACATCACGGCACTACTAAAAAATAGTCCCAATCGTGGACCATTGTCCATGTCTTTGGAATTCGACGCCAAAGTTGAAACTCCCAAAATTTTCAACATTTCTGTTATGAAAAAACAATTCTGAGAATTAAATCTTCTATGGGACTAATTTTAAATTTTCATTGAATCTATTGATCATTGTATTCTTTAATTTCGGTTTAAAGCGTTTTCATGAGGACATTTTATTGGATTTATTAAACGAATAAAACCGATTTTTTGGTTTTATTATCTACTACTATTTGCTGACAAATTTCAAATAAGTCAAGGCAACCTATAAAATAGTAGTAGATTTGTTTCTTTTTATATATAATATAAATTTAGTTTTATATTAAATAAAAAGGTCTTCCGAACATAACATTTTTAAGACAGCTTAGTAGCCAGCGATAATCCTTACATATTTAAGTTTAGTCAAAAAGAAAAAATGTATATTATATATAAAAAGAAACAAATCTACTACTAATTTATAGGTTGCCTTGACTTATTTGAAATTTGTCAGCAAATAGTAGTAGATAATAAAACCAAAAAATCGGTTTTATTCGTTTAATAAATCCAATAAAATGTCCTCATGAAAACGCTTTAAACCGAAATTAAAGAATACAATGAGCAATAGATTCAATGAAAATTTAAAATTAGTCCCATGGAAGATTTAATTCTCAGAATTGTTTTTTCATAACAGAAATGTTGAAAATTTTGGGAGTTTCAACTTTGGCGTCGAATTCCAAAGACATGGACAATGGTCCACGATTGGGACTATTTTTTAGTAGTGCCGTGATGTATTGAGAGTAGGTTCTACCAAAAATAATAAAGGTAAGTCCAATTATATAGGCCACGTAATTCAAAATGTCGGCAAACATAGGTTTTTTGTATTCTTAGGTATACCGCGAAACCTGTAGGTGATGGAAAATAATTTTGTATGGGACTTTTACTCAGGAGCACCCAAATATCATGGAAAACTTGTAATGGTTCGTGGAAATTTCACAAAGTTTAATTTTGTGTTCCTGTGTTATTTGCGGCCAATAATTTTTTTTCGAATTATTGGTGGATTAATTCATTTATTGCGGGAAGAAACCAAACATTCGTGGGTCTCTGTTTAGTCCTGTTCTGAGCCGACCAAAGCCGGATACAACCTTCTCATCCGAGACATCTAAATACAGAAATTTTGTTCCTCGACATTCCGGTCGACGTTCGTTGTTTTATTTATTTTTGGTCTAAGTCGGCGCCCGACGCCCTTACTCGAGTGATTTCCTCCTTCACGAGTTTTCGTCAATTCTTTTCTCGGTGGTGCCCGAGGCTCTCAGAACCTGAGCCCGGCATTTAATTCTTGCATTCACCCGCAGCATCCACTAGCAGTGTGACCGTAAGCGAGCACATTGTCCTCCTCTCCGAGTACGGAGTTTTTTTCTGGGATATTTTGTACTGCAGATCCTGCAGTTCCGCGGCTTCTGGCAGTTCCTAGTGCGCCCCGTTGCCAAAGTGATCCTAAGTTCCATTCCAAAACTTGTGTTCCGTCACGGTTTCGAACCATTGATTTCGGGACTTGTACGTGGCCTGAGGCGACCAACTGATTCGCGACCCATTCGACGGCAAGTATGCCCACGGGAGACGAGGAACAGACTCCTCTGATTCCGTCAATTACTCTGGAAAGGTCCCAGTCCGTATCTCCACGGCCTGATAAATTGAAGCCAAAGGCTGCCACTGCCATTCCAAAGGCAAAAAGTCAAGAGGCCGTCGACACTTCCCCCGGTACCTCATCCAGATTTACTCGGTCGGTACCCAAGATGGCTCAATCCGCACTCGATATCGCCCTCCGCAAATTCATTTCCACAACGGACCGTGTGAGCCATTTCGAGGCTGACATCAACACTCCGAGCGCCCCTGAAACCGATAGTTTTTCCCCCGCCATGTGCCAGGTTCATCGGGATCAGATTCGGGCCCTGTGGGATAAGGTGGAGAAGAGCTATGAAAACTGCTCCGACCTACTGTCCGTGTCCGCCGACAGCGCTGCCACCTCAGCTGTGCTTGAATCCAAGTACAGTTATTGCTACTCCGTCTATTCGAGGTGTGTGGTCCTGTTACAAGGAATAATCGACAAGGCCGCCGCCCAGTCCACTCCGGCTTCCGCCCCTATGCCCACACCCCCGTCCATGGGTTGTCGATTGCCACCAGTGGACACAGAAGTTTTCGCTGGCGATTATCTTCGGTGGCCCACCTTCAGGGACCTTTTCACCGCGATATATATTCACAACTCGCGCCTCACACCGGTAGAAAAGTTGTTCCACTTGTTGTCCAAAACAAGTGGCGATGCGCACGCCATCGTATCCAAGGCCCCTCTGACAAATGATGGCTTCGTCTCCGCGTGGCAAAGCCTCACCGACCGCTTCGAGAATCGGCGGTTACTTGTCAACAGCCAGTTGAAAATCCTTTTCAACATTCAGGCTGTCCCCCAAGAGTCCGGAGCAGCTTTAAAAGAACTGCAAAGCACCGTACAAAGTTGTCTGACAGCCTTAGCGATGTCCTCCATTCAAATCGAGGCGTGGGATTGTCTCTTAGTGTATATGGTTTCCTTAAAGCTTCCCAAAATCACACTTTCGATGTGGGAGCAATCCATACACAACAAGGCTGAAATTCCGACCTGGAACGAGTTAGATTCGTTTCTGACAGAGCGGCATCGCACTCTGGAAGCGATCGACGACATCAGGCCTAGCAATTCAGGGCAAATTCCGCAAAGACCGACGGCTGCGAGCGCCCCAGCACGCAGGCTCAACTCCTACGAGGCCAGAGTGGCTCCGGCCCCAAGAGGATGTGATCTTTGTTCCAGGGAGAACCATCCGATTCGCGTGTGTCCACGGTTCCTCGAGATGGACGTAAATAGTCGCTCCGACTATATTAAGAAAAAACAGTTATGCCTTAACTGTTTTGCGCGAGGGCACCAACAGCGGGACTGTAATAGTGCCCATAATTGCTTCACTTGCCACAGTCGCCATCATACCCTCCTGCACCGCGGTAATCCATTCGCGACCGCTCCAAGTCCACCTGCGCCTGGCAGGCCTCGACCCGCGGCCACTCCTGAGGATCATCCTGATGTGCAGGTGTGTTTCGCTTCGGGCTCAAGGGTCGTTTTACTGGGCACAGCCCTCATTGATATTTGCCATTTAGGGTGCAATTTCCAGGCGCGAGCCTTAATCGACTC